CTATATGGATTTCAGAGGGTAATAATTTACATGAATTTCGACCAAAAAATATGTTCTCAGATTTAAATGCAGAATTAATCTAGAGGCCAAACCATGAAGAAACAACTAAACCTTGTGAAAATCGGTTGATTTTTGACCGAGTTATGGGGCTGGGACATTTTGACCCATGTCTATATGGATTTTAGAGGGTAATAATTTACATGAATTTCGACCAAAAAATATGTTCTCAGTTTTAAATGCAAAATTAATCTAGAGACCAAACCATGAAGAAAAAACTAAACCTCGTGAAAATCGGTTGATTTTTGACCGAGTTATGGGGCTGAGACATTTTGACCCATGTCTGCATAAGATTTCAGAGGGTAATAATTTACATGAATTTCGACCAAAAAATATGTTCTCAGATTTAAATGCAGAATTAATCTAGAGGCCAAACCATGAAGAAACAACTAAACCTTGTGAAAATCGGTTGATTTTTGACCGAGTTATGGGGCTGGGACATTTTGACCCATGTCTATATGGATTTCAGAGGGTAATAATTTACATGAATTTCGACCAAAAAATATGTTCTCAGTTTTAAATGCAAAATTAATCTAGAGACCAAACCATGAAGAAAAAAACTAAACCTCGTGAAAATCGGTTGATTTTTGACCGAGTTATGGGGCTGAGACATTTTGACCCATGTCTGCATAGGATTTTAGAGGGTAATCATTTACATGAATTTCGACCAAAAAATATGTTCTCAGATTTAAATGCAAAATTAATCTAGAGGCCAAACCATGAAGAAAAAACTAAACCTTGTGAAAATCGGTTGATTTTTGACCGAGCTATGGGGCTGGGACATTTTGACCCATGTCTATATGGATTTCAGAGGGTAATATTTTACATGAATTTTGACCAAAAAATGTGTTCCCAGATTTAAATGCAAAATTAATCTAGAGGAAAAACCATGAAGAAAAAACTAAACCTCGTGAAAATCGGTTGATTTTTGACCGAGTTAAGGGGCTGGGACATTTCCACCCATGTCTATATGGATTTCAGAGGGTAATAATTTACATGAATTTCGACCAAAAAATATGTTCTCAGATTTAAATGCAAAATTAATCTAGAGACCAAACCATGAAGAAAAACCTAAACCTCGTGAAAATCGGTTGATTTTTGACCGAGTTATGGAGCTGGGACATTTCCACCCATGTCTATATGGATTTCAGAGGGTAATAATTTACGTGAATTTCGACCTAAAAATATGTTCTCAGATTTAAATTAATCTAGAGGCCAAACCATGAAGAAAAAACTAAACCTCGTGAAAATCGGTTGATTTTTGACCGAGTTATGCGGCTGGGACATTTTGACCCATGTCTGCATAGGATTTAAGAGGGTAATAATTTACATGAATTTCGACCAAAAAATATGTTCTCACATTTAAATGCAAAATTAATCTAGAGGCCAAACCATGAAGAAAAAACTAAACCTCGTGAAAATCGGTTGATTTTTGACCGAGTTATGGGGCTGGGACATTTTGACCCATGTCTATATGGATTTCAGAGGGTAATAATTTACATGAATTTCGACCAAAAAATATGTTCTCAGATTTAAATGCAGAATTAATCTAGAGGCCAAACCATGAAGAAAAAACTTTTAAGGAATATGTTTCAGGAATTAGGGTAGGCCAGATCAACGGCATGGATTCGAACCAGCGACCATGTTTTCTGTTTGCTCGTTAGAATGATTATCACAACATAAACTTGTTGTATCTGGCGAATGTCAACAAACATGTAAACTTAATTAAAGCGAGAAACGAGCGCAAAAAAAAACAAAAAAACAGCAGCCAAAAGCAATGTTTTTTTTATTCTGTTGGCCAATAACTGGCACACAAATTGGCCCAAACTAACAGCCACTAGGATGTGTTTTTGTTGTTGTTTTTGATGTGCAAGTACATGGCCTAAATCTACCTCAAATTACACAATTTTGTGGCCAGGCTTCATGCCATTTTATAACATATAGCCTGGCTTTGAATCTAGCTAAAAATGTGTCGAAATGAAAAATGGTTGTGCTTGTTGTGTGTGTGAGTGTGTGTTTGTGTGAGTGAGTGTGTGTGTGTGTGTGTGTGTGAATGAATGAAAAATCTTATTAGTTTTGTGTGTATGCACCTGGCCACATGCTGAAAATTTACTGAACGAAAAGCCTGCGAAATTTTCTTCGAAAATCAAGTCAATTTTTCATCAATTTTTTGTTTTGTTTTATTTTTTTTTTTTTTGTAATTTCTTGTCAGCCAGTTAACAAGATTTTTGAGCAATTATGTAAGCCGAAGCGTGCATTGTACAAAAATGTTGAATACAAAATTCACCTAATTGTGCGTTCGCCTTTATGGCCAGGCTCCGGAAAGGCAACATTATGGGCCCATTGACTTGGCCCATGCTGGAAGCCTAATAATTAACCAATAACGAGCAGAACGAACTTCAAAGCCAGCTTCAGCTTCGGTTTACACAGAGTCGAGTCGAATCGTTTTCCCCGTAAAGCGGCTCAGCTTGCACAGGCCACAGTCAGCTCTGTCTGTTACCTTTTACCATTTTTTTTTCTGGCTGCACAGCAGCCGCTCCAAAGTTAAGCCCTTGGTTATGTGACCAACAGGGGGCAGCAAGGCCTCGTTTGCAGTTGCCCAAAAACTTGTTAATTCGCTTCAAATGAGCGCACATTAGCTTAATCCAAAACTATACAAAAAATAGGATAGAAGGGCTCAATACCCTTCCAGACAGGTGGCTAAGACGTGGGAAATGCTCTCTAATCGAAAGATTCTTCATATAAGAGATATATTATTCCGCTTTGTTTTCTTAAAAACAGAAAAGTATGTAGTACAAAAAAGTCAGTTTTCAACTGATTCTTCTAGTAGAGCTATATTATATAGCCGTCTGATGTGGTTGAGATATATTTGGGCTCGAAGATGTTTCCTACTAGCAGGCGTTTGCACATTTCAAGACAAATCAATGTAACCCAATGCAAGCGTAGAGAAATACGCTTAAATTAATGCCAATTGTGAAGCAATCCGCAACAAACTGCGGCTTTTGGCCTATTTCAGCAGTTGATACACTTGAGAATTATAAAGTTTTGAACATAAGAAACATACGAAAGCTGATTTATGCACTTGTTCCAGCTCTTGGTGCTGGTCTGGTCTGTATTAGGCTAATGAAAACTGTGCAGAAATAGCCGAAAAATGGGATGGCAAAGATAACATGCCTGCTTTTGGGCATCTAAACATGTACCGAAGCCGACTTGCCCCCTACACTCTTCATCACGTCTAAGTAACTATAAAGCACTTTGGGTCGCACCACGACACAGACAAATTTAGGACAGACACGTTGGTTGGGCGGCAAGGCAGGAGCAGGGGCAGGTGCTGGGCCAGAGGCAAGGGACACCAAGGCTCACGTGGACTTGTGCTTAGGGCGTGTGTAACCTTGTGCGGGGGCAGGGGGGCGGCCAGGTGCGTCAGCTGGTTGCCCTGACAACGGCGTGTGCCCAGCTCCACTAGCAACTAAGATGTGAAATAAAAAACGCATATTGGGTAAAACTCATGTCAAAGGCAACCAAAGTCAGGTGCGTGTGCGGCACTTATGAGTGGCACTTAGTCTGGTCTAATACGCATCATTAGAACATTTAACAGGAAGCACGTGACGGCTCAAAATGTGTGCGCCAACTCACAGTTTTTCATGCCCCAAAAAGGATTTGTTAAGCGAATTTTAAAGTTGTGTGGAAAATTGTGCTTTAATACAAATTGAAATTGCCTTTCACAAACTTTTTTTGACCGTTATTTACAAAAAAAAAAATTAACAGAAGCTTTAAGAAAAGGAGCCGCAGGGAAAATATCTATTTTACTATCACACATTACAATATTCATTTGATTACATTAAAAGGTATTTACATTTCTCAAGTTTTCAAATAAGCGCGCCAAACGTGCAGCGTTGCCACACAGCAAACTCGCTGCCACACTATTCGCTTGCTCTTTGCCATTCACAATCCACGCACAGTCGTGCGATAGCAAACTATCGATAGAATTTCGGCAAAAACAGACTATTTTGAATTTGAAAAAAAAAAAACATATGCAAAATAGCGGAATAGGGAAAAAAACATCGAATTGTTAGTTCATACGCAATTCTATACATATGCATATACATATGTATGTACCTTATGGGATGGAAGCCGATCAGGCATTTTTAACACATTTCATTAAAACAATTAAAGTACGCTTTGCAAGTGTATAAAACGGAAACCGTTTCCAAATCCATTCTGGCTAGTTTAAGCAAAAAGCACGCCGCTTACCTTTAGAGCAGGCTCTCTTTTCATTCCTTTTACCCTCTTTCTCTTTTTGTTAAAATGCGCGCCAATTTGTTTTATATGGAAAAGCACAGCGACGAGTAATTCAACGGTGGAAAGAAGCGGCGATAACTGATTGAGCAGATAACAAACACACACGGCACAAACTAATCACATTGAACAGTATGTTATGTACATAACTTTCTTTAATTACGATTTTATATATGCGCGCAGATTACACGACCGATCGACAGCACAGATAAGCACAGACTAAATTGCAGTATTAAGCTCGCGGAGAGTTTAAGCCGGCATGCACACTAATACACTTACAACAAAGAGCACACAATTACGCGCTCTCACATTATTCCTCTTGCTTGCTTCTCAGACAACGGGATCAAAGGCGTTTCGACCAATGGCGTAAAGGCGCTGCCATGTAAATTATTTCTCCCGGTCATGCTTGCAGTTTTTGTTTTTGCTGCTTGCTGCACACTAAACATATAACGGAATCAATCCCGCACGCTTACAGTGTGTCCACTCCATAATTAATTACTCTATACCAGGCTAGTATGGTGATCCGTGCAATCGAGCAAAATGTTGCCAACATTCACAATAACTCACTTATTATCGATTATTCCTATGGCAGTTATATGACAAAGTAGTTCAAATATAAATAAATACTTAATGGGCTCGACATCTACATGTTACATATCATATTATACTGTGCAAAGATAATTCAGATTTTACTTAGAGTCATTTAATTACATAGTTTATAAAGCTATTTAATTGTTAACTTTGTATTTAGTTGCCACAAGCAGAATTTAATAATTAATTAAAAGCTATTCATGTGTGTATTTGTGTGTGTGTGTGTCAGTTTTTTCTCGAATTGCTGTGTTGGATGTGCTCGTTAAAAGTAGAAAATTTACATTTATTGAAAAAATACTTTAATGCCTCCAGCGCACCTTAAAGCGAGCTCTTCGCGATGTTCTTTTGATATATATTTTTTTTTTTTGGTACGAACTTTGTACATTAGAAATTAGAAACTAAACTATGCCAGATCATTGCCAGACTTAAGCCAGGTCCTTGCCAGATCTTGGCCAGGTGCTGGGCAGATCTAAGACAGCTTTTTCCTAGAGCCAGTTTCTTACCAAATAGATGTCAGCTCTACGCCGGATACTTGCCAGATCTGTGCCAGATCCAAGTCGAATCTAATGTATTAAGTAGACAATGGCAGCTAGAAACGCGGCGGCCAGCATTGAGGCATGACTGGCAGCTCCTCCGGTCAGACAATAATACTCATCGCAGTTGGCCTCCGAGATGGTTTTGTACTTCTGCAGCACATCCGACCAGTTGCAGAGACCCACATTGCACCAGTCCAGCTCGACGGCATTCTGATTGAGGAAGAAGACGACCTTCTCCTTCTCCAGCTGCGCCGGGCAGCTATATTTGACGGCCACAAAGTTGGCTGCAAAGGGACCCAATAGGCTGGTCTTCCAGCGACGATTCGCATTGAAGTTATCCGCACGCAGCTTGGCCTTATCCTCGTTGATGCCCAGCGCCACGAGCAGCGTCTGCAGTCCCGTCGAGTGCCCAAAATAGGCCACGACATGGGGCGAGACGGGACTGCTCAGACGGGAGAGCAAGTCCTGCACGGCGCGGCAATTGAAGCGTCTGTTCTCATCGAAGCCATAGCCCGAGCCGTAGTAATACTTGAGCTCATCAGCGTATTCCAGAACAGTGACATGCTCGGGCAAGAAGGCGCCGCACCAGACGCTCGTCCGATCCACCTGCCAGGCCTGCTCGTAGCGACACATGTCGTACATCAGCTTGATATCATCCTCGGCCAAAACTCTGAAACTGTGGGAGCAGAAAGGTTAGTTTCGTCTTGGATAACAGCAGCAGCTGCTGACTGGATACGGATACTAACCCAAGTCGACGTGCAATATCCTCCATGGTCTGATTCCATATGGCGCTTGTGCGATATATTTTATGCTCAGATCCCGCGCCCTTGTAGTTTTTGGTCTTATAAAACGGACAGTAATCATAGGGACGCAGCAGCAGATCCTTTTCGGGTATATCCGCGGCAGTAGCCACATTGCTGCCACCAAAGAGACCCTCGGCAAAGCCCTTGAAACTCTCCGTGGTACGCTGGGTGTCCGTGTGACGGAACTGAAAGCAGCGAGAAAGTCTTTAGAACGAACTGACACTGACAAATACTAACTTAAGACAATATTATTGAAATAAGCAAAACGAGAAAGAAGGGCTATCTTCGGCAAGCACAACCAAAAAAGGTTTCTCATACAAAAACCTAATATCAGACTGATCGTTTCTATGGCAGCCATATGATATAGTAATCCAATGTTGATAGGATTTTGGAAATATATAAGAAGCATCGTTAAACTAATAAATGCCGAGTTTGGTCCAGATATTTGGATAAACTGAAAAGTTTCTCATACAAGAACCCACTTCTCCACCGATTGTTTCTATGGCAGCTATATGATAGAGTAATCCGATGTTGATAGGATTTTGAAAATATATAAGAAGCACAGTAAAACTAACAAATACCAAGTTTGGTCAAAATATCTTGATAAACTAAAAAGTTTCTCATACAAGAACCTACTTTTCCACCAATTGTTCCTATGGCAGCTATATGATATGGTTGACCGATCCAGCTGGCTCCAACATATGCACTCCGTGCAATAGAAAGAAGCACTTCTCCAAAGTTACATAGAGATAGGCTTAAAACTGAAAGACTATTCCGCATAGAAAAGACGGACATGGCTATATCGGGGTCGAAGATATATGCGCTACACATTTTACGACAAAATTATAATACCCTCTGCAAGACTTTAAAAAGTTCTGGAAGTACGTAACTCTGCTTAAGAAATGCCTAATTCTGGACATTACCGTTAAGCGTATCCGAGATATCTTACCAGGTAGTAGGAGTCGTTGTATCTGTTTGGCAGCACCGTGGGAAAATAGTGCTGATAGAGCTTGGCAGTGCCCCGCATGTCCTCATAGCCCTGGCTGGTCAGATGCTCGTCCTTGTCGACGGTAATGCTGGTATTCCATTTCCACATCTGGATGGCGATCAGATCAGCTGGGCACAAGGCGTTTGTATCCGGCTTTGTATGCAGCACGCGATAGTTCTTTACAATCAAATCACGTAGCTGCAAGAATCAAACGAGAGCATATTAAAGCCGTGTTGAACTGGGCAATCAAGGATAAACATACTTCTTCCAACCGCGATGCCTCCTTGATGAATTTTGTTTTGGGCAGCCGCGTGCCGTGCCTGTGATAGATCCACATTTTCTTGGGCTCACAGCCGGGCACCTGATACTGCTTGTCCATGTTGGTGCCCTTGACAATCTGATAGGCTGTCTTCGAGCTAAACTGACGCGTCTGCAGTCGCTCCGTGTCCTTGCCGAAGCAATAGTCCTGCTGGGCACGAACCACGGCCAGAAGGGCCATCAACAGCAACAGCAGCAGACGCATGACTGCAATTGGGAATACAAGAATAGGAATCATGAAAGCTCATGAAATTTAAGTTGCCCAGCCTTTTGTCGATATCCTTGAACTGTCGCCCAGGTATCATATGTGGACAGCTGAAGGGGGTTTAGATGGGGGCAGGTCATAAGGTGTGGCATTTAAATTGTTCTGCCAAGGAGTTGAGTCAAGACAATATGGGCAGGGCCCACGATGTTGGCCAGTTGCGAGAGATTCCAATGGAATTTTAGCTAAAGAAAATGCCAGCTCACACACGCACACACACACACGCACACACACACACGCAGATACAAACACCTGGAAATTAGGCTAATGATTTTGCGACTGACAAATTGGTGCAGTTTTCCATTGGCACCTGCCTTTAGTCATCATAACTGCCACCACCCCAGCCCAGCCCAGCTCCGGCATGGGTCAAGTTGGTTTTGTCATAAAAAAGGCAATGTAATGTTTCAATTTGTAGCTCTGTTTACACGACCCATTTGACGGGGGCCTAGCTAACCCGCATCCAAATTGATTTATTCTCAATATGGAATCCCCCTCTAAGCCCCTCTCTCATAGACTGCTCGCTTGATGGTGACACAATGGCTGAGTTAATTGACAGACTTGGAGGAAACACGTGAAAGGTTCTAGTCTGGTATGCCCGACTAGAAGTTACCTTAATATCGGCACCAAGCTACGGTTGCAGACATTCAAAGTTCCTTTTAAATATATCTACAAAAATCTATAGGAGAAGACGAAGAAGATAGCGAAAAAAATATGTTGGATATAATAATGCTAAGGTTTTGGTTTGAAGATTTCGACATTAAATTGGACGGACAAATGGACATGGCTAAATCGACTCATCCTTTTCATCCGATCATATATACCTGATAATTATTTAAATTATAATTTATGCATAAAAATATATAAATAATTTATTCATACACTTGCATACAACCATAATACCCATTTTCAATGTGTACAGGGTATGCAAACTTAAATTAAAATTTTGTTTGCTCAGCAGGCCTTTGCTTTGACAAACTGTTTTACAGTCTATTCAACTCGGAATTTCTATCGGCCTACGAATTATCATTTATTATTCTTGACTCGAGCCATGGATCATGTCAAGAAATTCTTATGCTCGATCAAGCCGACCAAGGGCCAGCAGGAGATGGCCAAGGCCTTGTGAGTAGCTTAAGCAAATTGTCAGAAATTGATTAATATAGCTTGAAGTCTTTTGCCACGCCCACAGCATACCCTCAGCTGGCTGTTTTGGCATGGCTGGAGTTTTGGCTCTGATCTACTTCACAGACTGGCGTCTGATCACGAACTATATCCCGCTCTATAACACAAAGTATCCAAAGCCTGAAACGAAATAGCTGAATACCCTGCAAGAAAAACTCAACTAAAATGCATAAATGTATTCTTAGAGTCTACCGAAGCTGTGCCATATTATCCACACTATTTTCATACGTTTTTTTTACATTTTGGTAAAGGTCTTTCAACTAGCATAAAATTAAAAACACATTTCATATGCCATTTCTGATTCTGTGGCGATGGGAAATATGCATTTTGGTTGCACAATGCAAAAGTAAATAGATCGATGCCAATCAAAATATACAAAAGTTGAGGAAAAACAAAAACAAATACGGCAGCCAAAAATAGATAATAGACAACTTTTAGTAGAATATCTTAGAGGTCGTAGATGTAATAGCATAATAAAAGCAGATATATGTCAATTGTGCAACGTGCTACATTCATGACGTCAGATCAGGGTCTGCAGCAGGGGCAGCAGCAGCGGGGGGGATGTAAACTAAGTGCTGCGCTGGCAGCCGCAATTAGCTGCGGCGATTTTCAATTTTCAATTAAACACAACAGGCGGCTGCTTAACCAAAACAATTTCCCCATTCTCAAGGCCAGCTGCTTCCGAGATCTTTGAATAGAATCTTTCACAAGTGAGATCCACGCAATTTGGTTAGTTTCAAGAGCGTCGCATCCATTGGATGCACAGATGAAGGAGGGTGGGTTGAGGGGGGGCGGGTGTCATCAAGGAACTAATGTCTAATTGCCAATGTAATATTCGCAATCCTAACCCTCCCCATCTCAAACCCCCCTCAAGGTCCCATCGTTTAATCGGTTTTCTCATGCAATTGAATGCGTCGCCTTTGTTTTCTCAATGCGAAATTAAAATTCCAAATTGACTGCAGCGCATTTGTTTAGCTCACTTCGAGATCCATATATGTGTGTGTGTATGTGTGTGTGTGTGAGTGTGTGTGGGTGTGTATCTGTTTATAGCTATAGTTAACAATCTAAACCACATACACCTGCCCCTGACTAGCCCCTTCTCTCCACAATTTGTCACAGCTATAAATCGCTTTTATGTGTTTTAAAATAGCTATTGGAATTGTTTTATTATACATTTTCTATACTCTTCTCGTGGACAATATAAACTATAGACACTGTATTGTAGAAGACATCTTCGATACCCTATACATTTTTGATAGAAAGGGTATCCAGCTCTAGTCTTCAGTTGTGAGTTTTTTGGTGGAACTTGATATAGATATAGATTTTTCTGGCTTCAGTCATTTATCTGTCGCAGGATCGGTTGACTATAATATATAGAGTTCATAGAACCGAACGATCCAAAAGTTGAGTTCAAATGTGAAAAATTGAAGATTTCCTGGGCAAATGCATCTAAATATCATATAAATCGGACCATCATAGCGTATTCCCCCAAAGAATGATGGATTTTATAAGAAACTCTCTCTTTTACTAACTGTTATAGCCCGGCTTTGCTCGTGCTTAGCTCACTTCCTTCGACTAAAGCCCATTTCGGTCACGTATAAAAGTCAAAAGTAGAAAGAATTTTTACGAAATTTTAAAATCTCCTATTCGATATTTATACTAATATATTATTCAATAGATAATTAAAGGAAAATCTACAAATTGGCGCGATTTCTGCCAATTTCTATAAATATTTGATATTATCTTTCCTATAACTGCAAGAGTATTTAATATTCGTTAACTGAAAGAGAATTCTATTATTTTCTTACTGTATTTATTTATACAACTTAATTCGCGCTTTTCATATTTGCAGTTGTTTTCCGCATTGATTTATGCATTTATTTATGTTTTCTTTAATGCGAACGTGACATTTACTAATTTTTCGTTGATTTTCCGCAATTTCGTGCCGCTTCTCCTACCCTGCATGAGTATTTCCAAGCGAAACATAAATCAAATACAGATCTTATTTTTTTTTTACCAGCTGGCACAAATATATGTTAGCATACATCATAATGGAACTGGAACTGCAGAGTGTCCGAAAAAAAAAAAAAAAAACAACTCAGAAACAAACAAAAATTGGGTCCAATCATAATTTAATTGATTTGTTATGGCCGCACAGATTGCCCCTGCCCCAGAAATAGTCTCTAGCGAGAGATCGTTGAACTGTGAAGGGTTATCCAACACTGCAAAGCCCTGACAGATGGAAAGTTGGCAACTGCTTGTCAAATTTGACAGTTGGTTGTAGTTAACTACTTGCAGCTGAGTGCAATGCACTACACTCAGACAAATAATCTTGTTTTCGTTTATTTAAAATTATTATACTTAAACCAAGAACAAGAACCTTTGAAGACACAAATTCTTCAAAACAAGACACAAGAACTAAATCCAAGATATTTGGTAAATAAATTAAGAATATATTTAGCATTTCGCATATTATCTTTCTTTTTCTTAATATTTTTTAAATTTAATAGAGAGAGAAGACTTGACTCGCTATGTGGAAAAACATAGAAGACTAAAATTAAGAATTCCCCATTTCTCTGAGTGTATTAATTAGCGGAAATATGCAAAATTTAGAGGCTACTGGCAGCGACTTTTAAGAGCCCAATTAGCATAAATGATGCACAAGATAAAATCGCTTGTAAACACTTTTAGATATAGACATGCATATATACAGTCAGGAATTATATAATATATGATATACCCGGCCGGAAGAGTCTTTCCTCAGTACCCAAAATCATGTCTAGACGCAGCTGAGAATTTGATGATTGTCCCTAGTTAATATGCAAGACACATAGAAAGACCCTTTGGGATACCCATTGTAATTGAGAATTGCGTCTGGCGCATTTGAAATTAGAGAGCTGGCGCATAAATGTCAGACATTTCCCAAATGATCAGTTTGATCTTCGGTCTTCGGTGGCATTAGACATTTAATTTATCACTTGTAGAGCTCTATGTATAAATACTGATACGCAGCCAATAGAAGTGAAAGACCTCTCCCTCCACTTAGAATTATGTGTGTTGACCTTAGGGTATACTTAGATAGCCAAGGGAGGGGGAAGGGTAAGCACATTTCCACACAAACATTTTGGATGCCGCTTGGAATTCTCGAAAAGTTCTCTTAGACACAACGCAATTCGTTCGGTATTATGACTAAAACTTGAAAATTCACTTGTGCCAAAACAAAAGGCGATTGCGTGGAAAACCTATAAATAAAATACGAAGGGGGAGGAGCAGAGTGGGGAAAGTGGGGAGGGGCTTTTTCGATTTGGGCACGTCTGGGCTTGTGTTTTATGTAGAATGTTGATATTTGAATATATTCGAAAAGCATATTAAGTAATTCCCATTAAAAAGCAAAAAACCCAAGCACTGCGGAAATGTTTGACATCAAACGCTATTTTCAGCCCCCCCTCCCCAACCAAACGGGGTGAGGGGTTCCTCATTTGGCTAAGGTTAAGTGCAGATACTGCCACTCGCATCTATTGCCAAAAATCTATTTGGCAGCGTGGCCAAAACAAAATAAATATCTAGCCAGAAACTCAAGATACTACGAATTTTTGACAAATTTAGAAAATTTATGAAAAACGCCTGCGTATTGAATATTAGATAAGTGAAAAACCTGACAAATGTGAAAACTATGAAAACTGTTCACAACTTAAGCGAGGGCGAGAAAAACGTATGCCAACCGGTTTTCCAGCGCCCACACAAGTGTGTTTTTTTTTTGTTTTTCATTTTTTTGAAAACCAATTTTCATGTTGCAGTTGCTGTTGGCCCGAAAGCGGAACGCGATCAGGTAGCTGGCACTCGAAGCGTTAACAACAAACACACACACACACGCACACAGAGCCAAATGTGTTGTGTGACATTCTTTTAGAGTTTGTTTTTTTATGCTCTGTTCACAAATGGATAAAAGTTGTATACGGGCTTAGGGCCCCAGCACCATTTTCTTTTTTTTGGGGCGCTATTGAGGCTGTAGACCCGAAACCTGGAATACTTAATCACATAAATTCACGCCAGAGACACTGTTTAAATTAGAGGCGGGCGTGGCAAGAGGGGGAAAATAACATAAATTTCTTCTAGAGCGAAGACTCACAAAATATATTTCTCACACAGCTAGCACATAAATTGCTGCAGGTCTTCGCTAACGATTGGGGGCAGGGCTTACGGGCCACGCCCAAAAAAAGAAAAATCTAATTTTTTTTCAACTATTTTCAAATACAGCTTTTGACTATTAGCATATAATTGAAATATTATTCTGCAAGCAAAAACAGAGTATTGCGAGTCGTTGACGCCCGACTGAAACATGTCTTTTGACTGGCTTGTTTAATGAGCCTAAGAACTGAGCGTGTTTAATTAGTTGTGGCAGCCTATCTAAATCTTTGGGTTGGAGTCGCGTGCTGCACTGCCTCGTGCCAAGTCATAAATCTGTTCCCGAAAAGGGGGACATGTTTGTCCTAGGCTCAGTTTTGTTAACGCAATTTATTTACTCCAGGCTTATCCAAGTCCATAAACAAGCAAATATTTAATTGTTTCACAGTATTTTTTTTTTTGTGAATTTGTTAATTCATTTGAGTGCCAGCTAATTATTTTGATTGTGCGCGTTCAAAAACGCATGCAAAACGCGCGCGTTTATGCGCATGAGAGATTGTCCAAGATAGTCAGCGTGCTGTGAGGGGTATAACAGGGGGGGGGGGGTCAGAAACAGCTGTCAGCTGGCATTTACCATGTTACGTAAACATGAAGAACTTTGGGCCTAATTGTCTGCCTGAAACGCAGATCCCAAAACCCAAACTTTCCAGAGAAACCAGCTTAGAACATAAGAGGTCAAAGAAACTTGGAAGAAACACGCCGAAACTAAGATACCTTAGATACAGAACTATGCTTTGAAAATCTAAAGAAAACTCTGCTTTAGGAGCTGGAAGAATATCTATACCATTACGATAGCTGTTAAGAGTTCAGTAAGGCTTAAGCTTGAGTCTCGCATTTTCTTTTCGTATGCGTTACAGACTACACGGCATAGCTATAATACCCTAAAGAAGGGTATAAGCGGTGCCAAGGGAAACAAGAAGCACGAAACGAAACGAAACGAAATGTTCCCAAACTGATTAATGTAGCCCCATCAAATTTCAGCAATTTTCATTCATATGCAAAAAGGTGGCGGCTCACAAGAAAATTAGATTCGTTGAGCTCATCAGAAAAGAAAACAAAAAAAAAAAACCAAAAAGTTGTTGTTAACTTTGCTGGTCAAATCAAATGTCGTGTCAATGCGAGACTCGAAGGCGTCTCAGGTTTATTGCATAACAGATATGATACGATTATTAATAAGCGAAACCCAAAACAGGTTTATGTGTTTTTTTGTTTAAGAATCGAAAATAGTTTTGTTCTATTGTTAATTACGTTTTCTATTCAGGTACAGCCAGACATTGTAAAGACAATGAAACAAATGCTAGTTACGAAAATTGTTTGTCCAATTAAGTTGAGGCTGCAGCGAACGCTGAGCGGTAGATGAAAAGATTTTATAAACGAGAGAGAAAAACCCACACACAGACCTATTTGAATATTTGAAATGCACTCGAGAGATGCGCACGTTGGGCTTAATAAATTTCTTAACCGATTCGCACAAACGGTAAACGGCAAACGACAAACGGTAAACGACAAACGGGTGACGAGCTGACAGAACCGCACGCGAACGCGTCTAAAACGAAACTGAGGCAACGAGCGCAGCACACGAACGTTTATAGCAAGGGCGTCGCAGCAAGCAGTGTGACCAGAGAGAGAGAGAGAGCGAGAGAGAGAAACGGCGAGAGAGTGACCGAAACAACGGAGAGAGATCTAATCTCTCTCAAACGTGATGTTGATGTTAATTAGTTGCCCGCTTATACGATCCACAATGCTCGCAATTTTCGTTTTTTCTTTGCAATCCTTACATCCTCGTATGATAGAATAGGGTGATCCGTGCGATTGCGCAAAATAGGTGTATTCAGTGCAAGAGCTCAATTTCTAAGCGATCGTTCCTATGGAAGCTGCATATATCATATAATATGAAGCTGTTTTAAGTATTTTGAAAATTTAAATTTATTTATTCGTATCTAACTATTCATTTATCACAAGCAGAGCTTAATAATTAATTGGAAAAAGCCATAAGAGTAGAAAATGTACATTTAGTGGAAAATAGGTGAATCACTTCTGTTGCTCATTTAGTTTATTTTTTTGGTACGAACTTTGCACATAGCCTAATTAGAAACTAAACCAGATCCCTGCGCTATTTAAGTCAAATCTATGTCAGGTCTAATGCATCAAGTAGACAAATGCAGCAATAAATGCGGTGACCAGCATTGAGGCACGTCCTCCGGGCGCTCCAGAGCGGCAATAATACTCATCACAGTTGGCCTCCGAGATGGTTTTGTACTTCTCCAGCACATCCGACCAGTTGCAGAGACCCACATTGCACCAGTCTAGGTCCACGGCATTCTGGTTGAGGAAGAAGACGACCTTCTCCTTCTCCAGCTCCGCCGGGCAATCGTATTTCACGGCCACGAAATTGCCCGCAAAGGGACCCAGCAGACTGGTCTTCCAGCGACGACTTGTCATCGAGTCATAGTTATCCGCACGCAGTGGGATGTCATCCTTGTTGATGCCCAGCGCGGTGAGCAGCGTCTGCAGACCCGTCGAGTGGGCGAAATAGGCCACCACATGGGGCGAGACGGGACTGCTCAGGCGGGAGAGCATGTCCTGGACGGCGCGGCAATTGAAGCGTGTATTCTCCTCAAAGCCATAGCCGGAGCCGTAGTAGTATTTGAGATCCTCGGCGTATTCCATGACGGTCACATGCTCGGGCAAGAAGGCGCCGCACCAGACGCTCGTCCGATCCACCTGCCAGGCCTGCTCGTAGCGGCACATGTCGTACATCAGCTTGATATCATCCTCGGCCAAAACCGTGAAGCTATCGGAACGGAAAGGTTAGTCTCGTCTTGGATAACAGCAGCTGCTACCAACTGGACACTTACCCAAGTCGACGTGTAATATCCGCGACAGTATTATTCCATATGGCGGTTGTGCGATATTTCTGATACTCGGAGCCCACGCCCTTGTAGTTCTTGTCCTTAAAGTCCGTGCAATAGTCATAGGGACGCAGCAGCAGATCCTTTTCGGGTATATCCGCGGCAGTAGCCACATTGCTGTCACCAAAGAGACCCTCGGCAAAGCCCTTGAAGCTCTCCGTGGTACGCTGTGTGTCCGTGTGACGGAACTGAAAGCAGGGAGAAAAGCTTTAGGAGGAACTGCAAGGACTACACTATCAATATTCCAAAATGAACGCAGGTAGCAGTTCTTACCAGGTAGTAGGTATCGTTGAATGTGGTGGGCAGCACCGTGGGAAAGTAGTGCTGATAGAGCTTGGCAGTGCCGCGCAGATCCTCATAGCCCTGGCTGGTCAGATACTCCTCAATGTCCACTGTGATGCTGGTATTCCATTTCCACATCTGGATGGCGGTCAGATCCGTATCGCACAGGGCATCAGTCTCGGGCTTGGTGCGTCGCACTCGATAATTATCCACTATCAAATCACGTATCTGCAAAGATCACCAGGAGGAGTACATAAAACAGGTGTTGGAGCAGGGGTTAACCTAGGGGTTAACCTACCTCTTCCAGGCGCGGTGCCGCCTCAATGGTGCTTGGCGTGGGCAGCCGTGTGCCGTGCCTGTGGAAGATCCACATTTTCTTGGGCTCACAGCCGGGCACCTGATACTGCTTGTCCATGTTGGTGCCCTTGACAATCTGATAGGCTGTCTTCGAGCTAAACTGACGCGTCTGCAGTCGCTCCGTGTCCTTGCCGAAGCAATAGTCCTGCTGGGCACGAACCACGGCCAGAAGGGCCATCAACAGCAACAGCAGCAGACGCATGACTGCAATTGGGAATAAAAGAATAGGAATAAAGCTCATGAAATTCAAGTTGCCCAGCCTTTTGTCGATATCCTTGAACTGTCGCCCAGGTATCATATGTGGACAGCTGAAGGGGGTTTAGATGGGGGCAGGTCATAAGGTGTGGCATTTAAATTGTTCTGCCAAGGAGTTGAGTCAAGACAATATGGGCAGGGCCCACGATGTTGGCCAGTTGCGAGAGATTCCAATGGAATTTTAGCTAAAGAAAATGCCAGCTCACACACGCACACACACACACGCACACACACACACGCAGATACAAACACCTGGTAATTAGGCTAATGATTTTGCGACAGACAAATTGGTGCAGTTTTCCATTGGCACCTGCCTTTAGTCATCATAACTGCCACCACCCCAGCCCAGCCCAGCTCCGGCATGGGTCAAGTTGGTTTTGTCATAAAAAAGGCAATGTAATGTTTCAATTTGTAGCTCTGTTTACACGACCCATTTGACGGGGGCCTAGCTAACCCGCATCCAAATTGATTTATTCTCAATATGGAATCCCCCTCTAAGCCCCTCTCTCATAGACTGCTCGCTTGATGGTGACACAATGGCTGAGTTAATTGACAGACTTGGAGGAAACACGTGAAAGGTTCTAGTCTGGTATGCCCGACTAGAAGTTACCTTAATATCGGCACCAAGCTACGGTTGCAGACATTCAAAGTTCCTTTTAAATATATCTACAAAAATCTATAGGAGAAGACGAAGAAGATAGCGAAAAAAATATGTTGGATATAATAATGCTAAGGTTTTGGTTTGAAGATTTCGACATTAAATTGGACGGACAAATGGACATGGCTAAATCGACTCATCCTTTTCATCCGATCATATATACCTGATAATTATTTAAATTATAATTTATGCATAAAAATATATAAATAATTTATTCATACACTTGCATACAACCATAATACCCATTTTCAATGTGTACAGGGTATGCAAACTTAAATTAAAATTTTGTTTGCTCAGCAGGCCTTTGCTTTGACAAACTGTTTTACAGTCTATTCAACTCGGAATTTCTATCGGCCTACGAATTATCATTTATTATTCTTGACTCGAGCCATGGATCATGTCAAGAAATTCTTATGCTCGATCAAGCCGACCAAGGGCCAGCAGGAGATGGCCAAGGCCTTGTGAGTAGCTTAAGCAAATTGTCAGAAATTGATTAATATAGCTTGAAGTCTTTTGCCACGCCCACAGCATACCCTCAGCTGGCTGTTTTGGCATGGCTGGAGTTTTGGCTCTGATCTACTTCACAGACTGGCGTCTGATCACGAACTATATCCCGCTCTATAACACAAAGTATCCAAAGCCTGAAACGAAATAGCTGAATACCCTGCAAGAAAAACTCAACTAAAATGCATAAATGTATTCTTAGAGTCTACCGAAGCTGTGCCATATTATCCACACTATTTTCATACGTTTTTTTTACATTTTGGTAAAGGTCTTTCAACTAGCATAAAATTAAAAACACATTTCATATGCCATTTCTGATTCTGTGGCGATGGGAAATATGCATTTTGGTTGCACAATGCAAAAGTAAATAGATCGATGCCAATCAAAATATACAAAAGTTGAGGAAAAACAAAAACAAATACGGCAGCCAAAAATAGATAATAGACAACTTTTAGTAGAATATCTTAGAGGTCGTAGATGTAATAGCATAATAAAAGCAGATATATGTCAATTGTGCAACGTGCTACATTCATGACGTCAGATCAGGGTCTGCAGCAGGGGCAGCAGCAGCGGGGGGGATGTAAACTAAGTGCTGCGCTGGCAGCCGCAATTAGCTGCGGCGATTTTCAATTTTCAATTAAACACAACAGGCGGCTGCTTAACCAAAACAATTTCCCCATTCTCAAGGCCAGCTGCTTCCGAGATCTTTGAATAGAATCTTTCACAAGTGAGATCCACGCAATTTGGTTAGTTTCAAGAGCGTCGCATCCATTGGATGCACAGATGAAGGAGGGTGGGTTGAGGGGGGGCGGGTGTCATCAAGGAACTAATGTCTAATTGCCAATGTAATATTCGCAATCCTAACCCTCCCCATCTCAAACCCCCCTCAAGGTCCCATCGTTTAATCGGTTTTCTCATGCAATTGAATGCGTCGCCTTTGTTTTCTCAATGCGAAATTAAAATTCCAAATTGACTGCAGCGCATTTGTTTAGCTCACTTCGAGATCCATATATGTGTGTGTGTATGTGTGTGTGTGTGAGTGTGTGTGGGTGTGTATCTGTTTATAGCTATAGTTAACAATCTAAACCACATACACCTGCCCCTGACTAGCCCCTTCTCTCCACAATTTGTCACAGCTATAAATCGCTTTTATGTGTTTTAAAATAGCTATTGGAATTGTTTTATTATACATTTTCTATACTCTTCTCGTGGACAATATAAACTATAGACACTGTATTGTAGAAGACATCTTCGATACCCTATACATTTTTGATAGAAAGGGTATCCAGCTCTAGTCTTCAGTTGTGAGTTTTTTGGTGGAACTTGATATAGATATAGATTTTTCTGGCTTCAGTCATTTATCTGTCGCAGGATCGGTTGACTATAATATATAGAGTTCATAGAACCGAACGATCCAAAAGTTGAGTTCAAATGTGAAAAATTGAAGATTTCCTGGGCAAATGCATCTAAATATCATATAAATCGGACCATCATAGCGTATTCCCCCAAAGAATGATGGATTTTATAAGAAACTCTCTCTTTTACTAACTGTTATAGCCCGGCTTTGCTCGTGCTTAGCTCA